CAGCCATGCCCTGTGAGCATCACGTTCTCCCTGATGATCCTGATACCTGAGTAAAGCCATGCCCCATTGGCCCAACTTTTTCCTCCTGACCCTGAGAGCTGAGCGCAGCCATGCCGTATGGGCCCTACGTTCTCCATGATACTCCACATCTGAGCACAGCCATGCCCCGTGGGCCCCAGTTCTCCCTGGTGACCCTGACATCTGAGCTCAGACATGCCCTATGGGCCTCACATTCTTTCTGCTCACCCTGACACCTGGACACAGCCGTGCCCTGTGGATCACACTTTCCCTATGCTGACCCTGACACATGTGTGCAGCCATACCCTGTGGGCCTCACGTTCTCTCTACTGACCCTGATACCCAAATGTACCTGTGCCCTGTAGATCCCATGTTTCACTGCTGACACTGGCAGCTGAGCACAGCCATGCCCCTTGGGCCCCACGTTCTCCCTGCTGACCCTGACACTTGAGCGCAGCCATGCCCCATGGGCCCCACGATCTTCCGGCTGACTCTGAAAGCTGAGCACAACAATGCCCTGTAGGCCCCACATTCTCCCTGCTGACCCTGACACCTCAGTAAAGTTGTGCCCAGTGGGAGCAACGTTTTCCTTCTGACCATGACACCTGAGCGCAGCTGTGCCTTGTGGGACGCACATTGTCCCTGCTGACCCTGGCTCTTGAGCACAGACACGCCCTGTAGGCCCCACGTTCTCCATGCTGACTCCACATCTGAGCACAGCTGTGCCCCGTGGGCCCCATGTTCTCCCTCCTGACCCTGACACCTGAGTGGAGAAATGTCCCATGGGCCCTATGTTTTCCCTGCTGAACCTGATACCTGGGCGCAGACCTGCCCCGTGGGCCCACATTTCCCCTGCTGACTCTTATAACTGAGCGCAGCCGTGCCTTGTGTACCCCACATTGTCATGTTGAGCCTGGCATCTGAGCGCAGCCGTGCCCCGTGTGCCCCATATTCTCCCTGCCAATCCTGACTACTGAGCGCAGCCATGCCCCTGCTGACCCTGACATCTGAGTGTAGCTGTTCCGTATGGATCCCACGTTCTCCCTGCTGTGCTCATGCTGACACCTGAGTGCACCTGTGCCCTCTTGGCCCAAGTCCTCCTTGCTGATCCTGACACCTGACCACAGCCGTGACCTAGGGGCCCCACATTCTTGCTGCTGACCATGAGACCTGAGCGCAGCTGTGCTCCGTGTGCCCCACTTTCTCTCTGTTGACTCTGACATCTGAGTGGAGAAATGTCCCATGGGCCCCACGTTCTCCCGGCTGCCCCTGACTCCTGAGTGCAGCCGTGCCCCATAGGCGCCACATTCTCTCTGCCGAGCCTGTCACCTGGGTGCAGCTGTGCCCTGTGGGCCCCACATTCTTCCTGCTGACCCTGACACCTAGTATAGCTTTGCCCCATGGGCCCCATATTCCCCCTGCTGTGCTGACCCTGACACCTGAGCACAACCGTGCCCCGTGGGCCCCACATTCTACCTGCTGACCCTGACACCTCAGCTCAGCCATGCCCTGTGGGCCGCACGTTGTCAAGCTGACCCTGACTGCTCAGTGTAGCTGTGCCCCAGGGGCTCTATGTTCTCCCTGCTGACCCTGACACATGAGCGCAGCCATGCCCTGTGGTGTCCACATTTTCCCTTCTGACCCTGACATCTGAGCGCAGCCATATCCAGTGGGTCCCACGTTCTCCCTGGTGACCCTGACACCTGAGCACAGCCATGTCCCATGGGCCCCATGTTCTCCCTGCTGACCCTGTCACCTGAGTGTAGTCATGTCCTGTTGGTCCCAGGTTTTCCCTGCTGACCCTGACACGTAAGAGTAGCTGTGGCCCTTGAGCCACATATTCTCCCTGCTGACCCTGACACCTGAGCGCAGTCGTACCCTGTGGGGCCCACTTTCTCCCTGCTGACCCTGTCTGCTGTGCAGAGCCACGCCCTGTTGGCCCTACATTCTCTGTGATGACTCTACACCTGAGCAGTGCTGCGCCCCTTGGGCCCCACGTTCTCCCTTCTGACTCTGACACCTGAGTGCAGCTGTGCCCTGTGGACCCCACTTTGTCCCTGCTAAGCCGGACATCTGAGTGCAGTCCTGCCCCATGAGCCCCATGTTCTCTCTGCTGACCCTGAGACTTGTGCACAGCCATGACCCGTGGGCCCCACTTTCTCCCTGCTGATCCTGATACTTGAGCGCAGGTGTGCCCTGTGAGCCCCACGTTCTCCCTGCTGATCCTGACACCTGAGTGTAGCTGTGCCCCCGGGGGTACTACATTCTCCCTGCTGCGCTTACCCTAAGCTGTGCTCCGTGGGCACCATGTTCTTCCTGCTGACCCTGCAACTGAGGGCAGCCATGCCTTGTAAGCCCCACGTTCCCCTTCTGTGCTGACTCTGACACCTGATTGCAGTCATGCCCCATGGGCCCCAAGTTCTTCCTGCTGACTCTGACACTTGAGCACCTTGCTACAACCCTAGTCCTGGGGGGAGAATTGCCTCCAGCTGGCCCCTGAGAATGCTCCCCATGTGGCTCTGCTTTCTCAGTGGGATCTCTGCCCCATTGTGACTACCCGTATGTCTTTGAGACTCCACTGGGGTTCCAGCCCTACCAAAAGCATTCCCACCCCCGCCCCTCGGTACACCCACACCTCTGTTGGGATCTCGGCCCCCAAGCGAGTACTGTCCTCTATCTCTGCACCTTTGTCAAGGTTGTGACTGCAAGGCAAACAGTGCCCTGTGTGTCTCTGTGATGGTCTCCACCCTTAGCTCCTGCATTTGGAGCATACTGAGCGCTTTGGCTTCACTGCCTGTATTTCACTGCATGGCTGAGATGCCTGTTCCTGCTTAGCTGGATGAAAGGCTGAGCTAGACAGGCTGCTGAGCACACACTAATTTTTAGGGGCTTATTCCCAATGCTGGTGAAAGGCTCCCTGACTTCCGCCTCTTGGAACCATGGATAGACCTGGCTGGCCTGAAACAGACCAGCAAAGCTCCCAACATCCAGGGCTTTGAACCACATTTTCCCAGCTCTCAGGACTCCTCTGCCCCCTTCCACTCAGAGTTCTGCCTGTGCGTGTGTGTGACCCCACTGGGGGGATGGATGAAATGTGCCTACGGATGCAGCCCTCCAATAGCCTGTTAAATTTCCAAGCATTTCCCTGGCTGAGAAGTTCTGTCTCAGCAGAGCTGTGGGATCTATCCTCAGTCAGTACCACTGTGGCTCGATCACTGTGGATTCACTGGATGTCTGCTCCTGAAAATATCTCTTACCATGTTGGGAGGGGTGGGTTTGGAACTGCTGTGAGGTGGGTAAGCAACAGGTGATGACTGGCGCCATGAGAAGAATGGGATCTTGGAGGCTTCTGGTCATTAGAGCAGAGTATTTGTGCCCTTTGTCCCCCAGCTGGCCTCGAAGCAGGTGACTAGCAGAGCACTGGCACCTGGCATTCCCCACCTCCCACCCAGGCTTTCCAGATATGTTTCAGAGTAGCAGCCATATTAGTCTGTATCTGCACAAAAGAACAGGAGTGCTTGTGGCACCTTAGAGACTAACAAATTTATTTGAGCATGAGCTTTTGTGGGCTTATACTGGCTCATCACACAGGCCTGCATGCTGATTCCAGGGATGCAACCATTCCCTAGAATAAGAGCGGAGAAGCAGGGACTGGCAGTGGGACTTGCGATAGCTGTGAGTTCTCCCACTGAAATTAATACTAGCACCAAAAGGTTCAGTGAATGAATGATCCAGATCCAGCTTTTCCATTTGTCTCTATTTCCTCACTTACACAAATGATGATTAAATTAGTTTCATCTTTTCCTACACCGGAATTTTGGATTCATTTCACAGGTGACCTAGGGGCTGGCTGAAGGATAGGGAGATCAGGGTAAAACCTGGATGTGGATCAGCTGGAGAGACCATTTGATTTGTGAATTTTATTCCTAGACTTGAAATCCTGGAAACTCCAGTCAAACAGAATGGGAAAAATCCATCCCAGGCATAACCACACTGGCTATGTGTAGCCCAAGTCACCTGATGAAGCTTCAGGTTCTGGGAATTGGAAGTGCTCAGGGAGAGATCTGGCTTCAGGAGATAATCCTGGATCTTTTCACGTCTGGGATGTGGGCAGGATGCTAGGCATAGTTCTGCTCCCCCTTCTGCATGACATCAGCCTTTGATATACAGCCTCCTGGGCTGTTGGCTCACCAGTGCACTCCTTGCTCTGCAGAGTGGCTCAGGTGGCTTTCCCTATCAGGGTGGGTGGCTGGTCCCAGTGGGAGGCCAGGCACAGATTGGTGTAGTCCTGGCAGCTTCTCGGCCAGGCAAAACAGGGGTTACAATACTTCCAGACTGCATCTGATTGAAAAAGAAAAATCCCCTCTGCAGTTTCTGCAGGTCAGACTAGCTGATCCTGGTGGTCCCTTCTGGCCTTGGAATCTATGAACCTAGTGTCTAATGGTGGCTTTTCCTCTCCCCTTGTGTCAAAGCTCTGCACCAGTCAGGTGCATGAAGATAAAGGAGGTCATTTAGCTAGGCAGCTTATTTGCATATGCAGATGAGATCAGACAATCTCTAGCTAAGGCTACAGTTTGCTTCTGGTGTCTGTGGATGCACCTTTGTTGATGCTGGCCTAGGCCAGCAGTGTACATCACCCAGGTCTCTGAGGCCATTTCACTGCCCCTGAAACAGCCTTAATGACTGCAGTGCCCAGGGACTGCAACCAGACTTGGGGACTCCTAGAACCTGCCAGGGCTTTCCCTGTGAGTGTCACCAGTGTAAAGTGGAAAGGCCACAGCAGCATCCTCTGGCACCATGATAGTTATGTAACAGCATTCTTCTTCCCGCCCCCGCCCCCCCCGCTCCTTTGGGAAAAGCACCCCACACAGGAGAGCTAAGAGTCCTGGACGTTGCTGACACTTTCCCCTCCAGCCCCAGTGTTTAGCTTGAGCCCAGCCTCCCCCAGGCCCGCCCCTCCTTTTTCAATTTCCTAGAACCTCCAAGAACCCAAGTGCCTGTGAAGCAGAAAGTTTCCTGTTCTCACCCTTTGCAAAGGAGCTGGAGGTGAGGCACTCTCCCACTCCCATACACCCTCCTAGCCCCTGCTCTGTTTGCTATACCCTCCCTCTTCTCAGCTGAGCTTTCCTGCTAGCATCCCCCCTCTCCTAGAGCATTCTGGCCCACTCTCCTCTGTTTCCCCTCTGCCATCCTCCTCCCCTTTCAGCTCTCTGGCCTGGCTTGGTTCCCTTCCTCTCCAAATACATTTGACATTGTTTTCCTCCTGTATTTCCTTTACATTTCCTCTCTTCCCCTCTGTCTTTTCTTGCAATGGGGATGGCTTAGGCAGCCCCTGCTCTCAATAGAGCAGAAGAGGGAGAGCAGAGGGAGGGCTGGAGAAGGAGGGAGGAGGCAAGCCACATCACACACACACACCTCCCTGCATGTGATTAAATGTCTTGAAATCTGCTTCTGATTTCCTCGGGGAGTTGACTTTTCCCTTCTTTTCAACCCCTGGATTTATTGAAACCTTTTTACTCTGCTTCAAGGCAGCAGCTGGGGCTCAGTTTTTTCCCTCTTGCCTATGTTTTCCCCTCTCTTCCCTTTTGCTCTCGTCCCTCCCAGCAGCAGTTCAGTGAGATCCAGGAGAGAGGAGGAGTGCAGCGAGCTGGGAGAACCCCGAGAAGCGGCCAAGGGATTCGAGGACCAAGCGAGGGGCTGCTGCAGACCACACCGTGCGGGGGCTGGGCTTTGCTTTACTCCCCCCTCCCCACGAGATAAATAAGCACAAATCTTACACTCGCGTCTGTGTAAAAGGGCTTTGGCGTCTGGAATTACACCCCTTCGGCTGCATCACTGCTGGGAACCGCGCGTTACCAGGAACCGTCTACCTGCCGGGCTCCCAGTAAGTTGCTTCCAGCCCTACGAGTCTATGACAGTGTTTCTCATTCTAAGGAGAGGGGAGAGATCTTGTCCCTGGGGCTGGGGGGAGGTTGTGTCCTGTCTCCCGTCCTTTCCCAATGCCTGGACGCTTGTTTGGGGGAGGGGGCCCTTTTCTTTCGCTTACTAGCGATCTGGGACGCGCACCCCCTGCTAATTCCGCCCTTTCCAAGTTAAACCCCGCTCAATGCGCTTTTCCTTTGCCCTAGATGCTTTTTCTGCTCCCTTGTTCTCCTGGGCTCCCCCCGGGTTTCCTGTGGGATCTGTTCGCGGCCCCGTCCCGCAAGCGCAGCAGAGACGGAACTTTTCACCAGTCTCCCCCCGCCCCGCTCCTTTGCTAACGCGCCGGGGCTCTGGCAGCCGGCGGTCTCCCAGGCGCTGCTTCCCCGGAGCTGGGGATCGTGTGACAGGCTCCGCTTTCCGCCCAGTTTGTGAAAGAGAGAGTCGGGGGGGCGGGGGGCAGCGAGCTCCGGGATTCGGTCCGGAGAACTGGGCCGCAGCCGGAGGCGGTGCCCGGTTCTGCCGGATGCAGACCCGCTGGAGAGCCGCCAGGGGCTGGACACGGGGCACCCCGGGCTGTGCGCGGGAGGACACGGGCTGGCCCCTGCCAGCTGGGCTGGTCTAGAGCCCCGCATTCCGGGATGGGGCGGGGGGGATGCGGGACCCCGGGCAGAGCCTGCCTGGCGAGGGACCGGCCCCGTCCTCCTACACAGCTCCTGGCTGGCGGGTCCTGCTCCGTGCGAGCAGCAGCCGCGCCGTGCTGGGACTTCCAGCGGCCCGCTGCCCCGGGGGTGAGGGCGGGGAGCACCGACTCCAGGAGCCCCTGGCAGCTCCCGGGCTGCGGTATTCGAGCTGGCTCTAAGCCGGGATGGGGAAGGGCCCGGGGCGCTGGCCTCGCTGCCTCTCCCCCGGCCCCAGCTTCGCCTTGAGCCGGGCCCGCTCCGTGGCGAGCCGCAGCCTCCCCAGCGCTCGGCCGCTTGTTCTCTTCTCGCTTCCTTTGCAAGTGCAGGGCCCGGCGGCGGGGTCCTAGCAGCGGGAGGCAGGTGCTGGGAGAGGCCCCTCGGCCTCTGACCTGAGGGCTCTTCCCCTCCCATCCTGCTGCTGCTCTCTGCGCCTTCCCCCTCCGCTACGGGTAGGCGAGGGAAAGGCCTTCGGGACAGGTGGCGTCTCCGATGGAGCCCGCTGCAGCTGGGCCGGGGGGCGGGCAAGGCAGAGATCTGGGCATTTCAGTTGTCAGAGTAAAGAAGGAAGGTGTATGTGAGAGAGAGACTGAAAGTCAGCTGATCAGGGGATGGGATGTAAATTGGGAGGAAACGTTTGGTGGGGGGCCGTTGAAGCGCTTGGTTTCTTTATATGTTTGCCTGATCCCATATCTGCTCCCTCCCCCAAGTCCCCATGGCTGGCACCCAGGGGAGATGGGACAGAAGCATCTTTCTTCTTGGGCAATAGCTTGCAGAGTGGGGTGGCCAGAGCCAGTTCCAGTGCAGCCTGCAGCTCCTGGCCCATCTGGCCCTGTGGCAGTGGCGGGTGGAATGGGTTGAGGGAGGAAGACCCAGTGCCAGACACAGGGTGGCTGCTCACCAATGAAGTATGCCAAGTAAAGTTAGATGCAAAGGAAGCCCTCTCCTCCCAGGGCAGGTTTTGTCTAGCCCCAGAACTTGCACTGCGAAGTTAAATCAGAGTAGTTAAGCTAGCGCAACTTCCATGTGCAACTCTCTTATAGCCATTTAAAACTCATTATTCCAGGCCTGGGCTACACTTAAAAGTTAGGTGGACATAGCTCACTCAGGGGTGAGAAAATCCACAGCGTTGTAGCTCTGCCGACACGATCCGGGTGGAGACGCCGCTCGCTCAGCAGAAGAACGGTATTGCCAACGCAGCTGCCATCACTCAGGAAGGCAGAGTTCCCACAAGTGACAGAAAAGCTCCTTCTGTGGTGCCCTAGCCATGCTATTGTAGTGTAGACGTGGCCTCAGGTTATCTTGTGCCTTCAAGGCCTGGCTTAAGCTTGTACCAGCATCACTATGTTGTTTGTGGGAAAGGGGGGGTGTCACTTTTATTTTACCAACATAGCTGTGCTGGTATCAACTCTAGTGTGGACGCACTTCTAACAGCGCAGGAAGAGCTTTGGCAGGAGTCACTGTCTGTTGGGGCACTCCTCTAAGCTGTCCCGGTAGAAGTGCTTGTATGCCAGTCTGAACTGCTTGAAGGGTTTGTTGTGATCTACCTGTGCGGATACAGCTATGACAGCAATACTTTTCTAGTGTGGACAAGGGCTCTGTCTCTCTTCCAGAGCCTATGGCCGCATAGCCCCCTCGTGTAGGTGCTGCCTACACCGACGGGAAGGAACACCACCTCCCTGAAGGACATTAGCTCTGCCAACAGAAGCACTCTTCTGCTGGCACAGCTGCAACTACGCTTTTTGGGGTAGCTGTGTCGCTCCGGGGGGTGGGTGTTTTCACACCTCTAAGTGATCAGTAGCTATGCCAGCATCAGTGGCCAAGCCCTGAATTTAGCAGTGCAAACTAAACTGCTTTAAGCCAGGTTTAAACTGGCCTAAGAGTGTCCACGCACAAAGCTGTACCAGTCCAACGACATCATTCCAAAATCACAACCTTTAGTTTGTCCGACTTTGGGGGGACCAGGCCTGTGTACCTGCGATGGCTGGAGGCCGACTCTGGGTTGTTGCTTTAGCTCCACTCCCTCACACACAACCTGCATGTCTGTTTGCATTCTGTGAGGGATAGGCAAGAGGGGCCTGGGATGCAGGGACAGGGGCTCCACGTAAGTGTTGAATGCAAGCGCAAAGGTAACTTTAGGGACTGCCTTTTTTCTGCAATATTCCCTTTATAAAACAGAGGGAGCTGACGTGCTTTTTTGCTTATGTTGAACAGCCCAGCTCTGTGTGGAGGTCCCAGAGACCAAGGTTTGGGCGAGGGTTGGAGCAGGGTACTATGGTCTGAGGGGAATACAGATCCCCAAGCACAACTTAAGGGGCGAGGGGGAGGTTTCTGAGCATGGGCCCAAGGGAGGGTGGGGTCCGGAATGTGAGCCCCACATACTGAGAGGAGTCCAGGTCTAGTGCTGGGCACAGGGCTGGGTTTTACAAGGCATGAAGTAGATCCAGGGCCTAAGAGATGTGTGAGTCCCAGAGCCAGGCTTGAGATGACAGAGGCCTTGGTGCAGGGAATACTGGGGTCTCAGGGGGATGCAGGTTTCACAGCTTATGGCGATACAGGCTTCCAGGCAGGGATTCTGGGACCTGAGGGGACACAGGTCTCAGAGCAGGGGGCTCAGTTTCTGGGAAGGGGTCAGGGCAGGGGTTCACAGTCATTAGAGGGTCCAGTCTTTGGGTGAGTACGGCTCTTGGAGCATTGGTGCCAGGGCCTGAGAGCAGTACAGCTGTTGGAGCGGGGCCTGTGTTCTGCATCCTAGGAGAGCTTAATATTACTACATTAGCAAGCAGCTGGTAGTACTCAGGGTTCATTCAGCACCTCATTCTCCTCTCACCTCTCCCCAAGTTCTGCACAGGGCGTTAGAGCATTTTCCATATTCCGTCTTGCCCACCATGGTAAAAATGTGAGTCCATCTATTAAATCTATTCCAAGTCTCACAGACTTGGCCTGCACTCAAGCACAATACATAGCCATGTGACACAAGGAGAGTTAAATGTCTTACCAGTAACCAAGGAGAAACATTAGATCAACCCCATGTCAGAGTGAAATGGATTTCTGGACCCGTTGTCATATGCCGCCCCATACCATACGTGAGCTATCTTTCAAAGCCAGCCAAGAGCTGTCGTCTATTAATAACATATTAAATATTCATCCAGTCTATTTTAAACATCTGTGCCCGGCATGTTATGAAAAGGCAACAAGGAACGTTATGGAAACCAGATCACTTTGTTCCCGGATGGGGGCAAAAACAATAGGAGTTCTGCAGCAGAACTGTGAGAATCCCACAGCCCCAGCAGTTGGGATTGGATCAGCAGTAATAAAGCCCTTTGCATACCAAGTGATAGTCCTGAGGGCACGTGACAGAGTGGAACAATGCGGCAGGAATGTGTGAAGGGGTTTAGGATGGCTGGGCCAGGATTAAGGTCATGTAAAGCAACAAGTTGGGCACCATTAGACGTTACTAAATGGTTTAGTGTCGGGACAGCCGCACTATCCCGGCTTTCCGTTCCTGGAAGAACAGTGGCTCCAGGTGTCTTCTTGAGCTACTGTTGGTCTTGAGTGTCGTTAGTGGGAGAAATCACATAAGTAAGCATTGGAGTGATGAGCTAGTCAGTGAATGCAACAGACTAGGTCACTCCTTAAAATAGAATCAGTTTTTCAGTGTGCGCATCTAAATCATCTCAAGCTGCCCTTCCGTGTGGTTTTTACCCTGGGGGTCCAGTGAGCAAAGCTCGAGTTGGCAGAATCTCAGGGTTAAAAGCAAGATGGCCATTGTCACCTCGCTAGTTTCCGTTCTTTTCTCTCCCTGTGGTACTAAAAACTCTGCAAAACAGCTTCCTAATGATAATGGGAATGCTTTTAAGCAACCATTCATTGGCAGCTCTCCCTGCATATTTGACAGTCTTTGTTCAGGTTTGGGCCTCTATGGATTTCTCTCCATTGTTTTTGATAACATAGGAAATCTGGTCTCTTTAGGGAAGACTTTCTCCCCTCCTCCCACCCCCATGTCAAGACTGAAATTTATGTAAGCCAAGTTCTGAGAAATTAGGCCAGATTCTGAAAAACAAATGTAAATTGGGAGTAATTCTACTCATTTGCATGCAGTTGGTTATGTCTTATTCTGGTGTAACTGAGATCAGGATCTGGCCTATGTAGTTTAAACCATAAAGTTCTGTTTGGTGTTACCTGTACTTAGTAGGGCCACTGTGGTTTCACACAGCTTGCGTAATACTGTCTCGTTAGTCTGCAACAATGCACTGTAGTGGCCAGTGCTGTGAATGCCTGTTCC